TGCAGATTCCTTGCCCACAAGTTGCAAATATCTTCCATGGGGGATGCACATTGTGGGTGGGTTTTCACTGCTATGCTCCAAAAATGTCCTGTGTGGGGTAGCCAGACATCCTAATTTCCAAAGCTCTGTATCCTTGAGAATTTGAAGATTGACCACAAAAAATTATATGCACCATTTTACCCAGGAAAAGCATAGGTGAAATTGCTGCACAAACAACTCAGATCACACAGTTATCACTGATCGATAAACTGGTTTTTATCTCTAAACTGCAAGGAGTTAAAAGAAACTCTGGGCTGAATGGGACTCATTCAGAATGCTGTTTTCTGCAGTCAGCAGAGGTTTACCTTAGATTTATGTTTTTTAGTTAAGACTACATGCTTTGAGAAATGAAAGAAACTTCCATTAGACTGTTTTATCATGTTTTCAAAATCCAACAGGCACTGGCATATGCAGTGTAGGGGCAAATTAAATCTACAACTACTCTTTGGTGAAGCAGGAGGAAGATGAGTATGCAGAGTCTTTAATTTTTTGAAAATTACTGATTAGGCCAGTACAGTTATTTACACTTTATAACTGTGCTAATTGACAGTACCAGCTACAGTAAAATTCCTGGAAATATTGCCAATTTTCCAATTTCATTGGAAGTTGCAAGTTAACAAGGTCTGTTTACAACACATGGTTTCTCTCTAAAAAATTTATGATGTAAAGAGATTTATAGGGGATCATAATTACTTATTCTAGTAATAATTCTAGCTGCATCCCAAACACAAAAAGTAAGTGTCAGTAAGATATGAAGAAGCCAGGGACAAGTTTACTGCACAAAACTGTGGGACACATTCATGCAGAAATCTCATTCTGGCTACCTCCAGAAGCCTGCAAATGCTTTTCCATAGGCTGCAGATAGTGAAATTATCTTGATACCCTAAAAATACTTCCCTAAATGTAATGCAAAATGTAGATTAATTACTAAAATTTAAGTATTTTATCTGTAATTTCTCATGTGTGGAGAAGGCATGAGAGCCACATCTCCCTTTAATGTTGGAACAGGATCTGGAGGAAGGCACAATAATATATTTTAGAGGCAGTGGAAGTTAATCCTTTCGTTAGAAATAGGTCAGGAGCCTGGACAGGTGTATTTTCTTTTCGTAATCTCTTAGCACTCTAAGATCCTCTGCGTGCTGCACTAGGCAAAATGACTTGCTCCTGGACATACCACTCAAGCACAGCTCTTTATTTATCCACTCTATCTCCTTTTACTGATACAATTTTGAAGCATGGCTGACCTTTTCTATGCCCCTGCTTTGCCCTGTAAAATCTCTTCATTGAATCCATGTCATTCGTTTTCCACTCCTGATCTCCCCACATCAGAAGCGTAGTTCAGTGCAAGATAAACCCCTGTGCTGGATTAGAGAACATTCCAAGCAATGCTTTGAAAAAGGGGAAACAAAATTTCTACCATTATAGACACAGGAAAATAAGTGTGCCACAAGAATTGGATGTTTAAACCAGTAAGGAAAAATGACATTCAGATCTAAAGGCTGGCTCCAAAGTACTTTACATCAATTTATCAAAATGACAGCTATTACAGTTCTACCCATGACAAAATGTGAAAAAATAGTGTGTTTCCTAATTATGGCTGTAGTCTTCCCTCACTCTTTGTCTACATCAATAGTAAAAAACCCAACATTTAGTATTTTGAAAATATCTGCACAGCAAAGGCAAGCCCATAAATCAACTGTAACAACAAACCTCTTGCAAACCACATCGAGAGAAAAGCTGACCAAGACCCTAAACCTTGAAAAAAGAGTATTGTCTCTGATTCTGGGAGCTCCCGAGCCTTTCATGGCTCATTCTCGGGTCAGAAGGAGCATGAAACACTCCTAAGAGGCTGTGTGGGAACAGTGCAGCCCACACCCGCCAGAGGGTGGAAAAGGGATTTGAGATTCAGCTGGAACTGTGACTTCATGGGATTGTCCTACAGCTTGACAGACAGAGCAAACTCTCCTGGCAAACAGAAGGTCAGCTTTTGTGCAGCCTCTCCAGCTTCAGACCAAATGCAAAGCAGCAGACTAATGAACCTGCAGCTCTGTAGCCAGTGGCAACTTTGCTGGAATGACTGCTTCAATTTTAGCAGTGCTTGAAGCACAGGCGCCCAGTGACACAAAGTGCTTGCTCCTGTACTCAACAAGAGCTGTTGTAATCTGTTGGACTGTAAAATACAGTTTGTAAGTGTGATTTCAAGAACAAGAAAAATACTTTCAGTGAATAATTAATTGCCTTCCTGAGGAAAAATAGTGATGATACTTATTCTTCCAAGACCTCAAGTCTTTTGCTTTTGCAAGAAAGTAGAGGAGGGAATAGGGTTATTGAAATAAACATTCTTAAATCAAAGGAAGCCTTCTTCACTTTGCCCTGAGGATGATCCCAGTGAGACAACTTCCTAGGTGCTGCTCTTCCTAACAGTGTCTGGCACTACATGATACTCCCATTTTTGACCTATTTTGCCTATTTTGATATTTTCAGAATTGTTTTGCAATTACAACATTACTATTTAACTGTGAATGCATGTCTGCATAACATAATTCTGTTCCACATGGGGATACAGGAGCTGGCAACAAGTGCACTGCTTGTGGAACAAGGGACACTGGAACCAGAGCACAGCATTTCACCCAATTAACATATTGCTGCTGTGAAAAGGAGTAACTACCAAGGTGTTAGCATGGTGCTCTGCAGGTCCACATTTTGACAGTGATATATCATATATTTTGGACATTGCACTTCCTAAATCCAGTTGATATTTTCCTACTGTTGATATGCTTTCTACCCCTGATTGTACATTTCAATAAAAGGATTTTGTGTTACTTCAAGCTAAGAAGTACCTCAGGAGTTTCCCTGTTCTGATTTCTACCAAAGGGCCCAAAACTTAGATTCTGTATTCTGAATGGATGGCAGTGAGTGTTGAGTAAAAGGGGATAATAATTTCCCTCAATCTACTGCCTATGCTCCTGTTCTAATAATAAAGCTCTAATTTCTTACCCAAATAAATAGTAAGTAAAGAAAATAACCTCTCTTACTCTAGAAAGAGTCAATAATTTTTAGATTGTTTTCCATACTGATGACAGATGATGTAATTTTTAGGGTATTTTCTCTATTGCAGTTTTGTAACAGAATTAATAGAGAAAGGGTATTTTCTTCTCTTTTCTGTCACTGTCTACAGGAAATGTAATTTTTTGTTCACTGCTGTTCTTGTAAACTTAGGATTCGGTACTTTTTGGGATCACTGAAATTCAATGCAGTTATTTGAATAAATTCTCTTGTCACTTCCACAGCAGGCTGTCATTTCCCTTTACTATTAGAGATGTTCAACTGAGCATCAAAAATGACTACTTGCATAGCTGCTTGTGGATAAAGAAAAGTACTGAAAGAACATGTTGGAGGGTAGGAGGCAAAGCAAGATCTTGAACCTGAGTGTGTAGTCTTCAAGAGACTAATCCAGTCACAGAAATTTTGGTTGCTTGAGCATTTTTTCTTTCTCTTCCTCTCCCCTTTCCCTCTATATCTGCCCCAACCACTCTGTATAACTGTCCCTATAAAATAATTTTCTTGAAAAAATCATGACTGACTTAACTGATTAACATGTATGTACCTCGATGGATTATTTTTTTCTTTTCTGATTTTATGCAAAGAACTTCCAGTTCTCTGGCTATTATATTCAGTAATGTGAAACCTCAGAGTCTCAAGAGGCTAATTAGGTATGGTTTTGCTACAATATTAATTCCAGCAATCATGGAGTTTTAAAATTCATCTGAGATAACATGAAAAGCAATTCTTTTTATAACTGCATGGTCGTGAAATACTGCAAAAAAGTTTTCTGAGATAACTTGCTATTGTGAGATAAGGTTTTCCCAGTACTCTCTTAGCTGCTTTTCAGGTATGAATTTAGGAGAATGATGTTTGGCCCTGAAGTTGAAGTTGTGATTTTATTTTGTCACGAACCAATTTCAGGCAAAAGAACAGCTTTTTCAGAACATATTTTAGTGTAGGGAAAGCATCGTATTAGGCTGCAACTTGCAAAATGATAAATGTTCTCACTTCTCTGGATTTTTCAGCTGTGGTTAGCATTATTTGGCGCATGTCTCTCAATACAAAGACTTTTTTGCTTCCTTCTTCCAGAGGGCTCAGTGCTCATTGGGTTAAATGTCACTGGAAAGACCCAAAGGTGCCCCTGTGCCTCCAGCTTCCACTACCTGCATTTGAGTCTTCTGAAGGTCCTGTGTCACATCTGTCTGACCTCTCCCTAGATGTACTCAGGAAAGCTCAAGTGGCACCATATGTCTTTACTAAAGCAATAAAATTGACCCACATTAAAAATCAGTCTTCTGAACAGAAAGAGCTATAATTATCAAGGCAGATCTTGCCACCTGAGTACTACTAAGTACAGAGAGATCCACATATCCGTCTGTACTCAGCTGTACTTTCTATGTTGTCTGTGCTCCACCCAGTTAAATAAACCTCTCTGCACTTGCATCTAACAATTTTTCCCAATTTCCAGTTGCTTCTGCAGTCCCATAATTGGACAGCTGTTGTCATAGAGTTTGCTGTGATCTAAGCTTTTTTCCAACTTGCTGAACTTCATCTTGATTTATTAAAAAAAAGTTTAATTCAGTTACATGTAGGAGCAATTTACTCACACAACCCTACTTGTTATCTACAGTGTCTCTTTGAGACATAGTAACAGAGAAAATCTACTTGTGGGTGAATCCTCTATTACTGTGATAGCCAAAGAAATGTGGGAAGCAAAGAGCTTGAGAGGCCAGAATAACCTTTGGTTTTGTCCAAGACAAAACAAACAGTGCCCCTGAAAAAACATTGAGAGAATCTTCAGTTAAAATCTCTGCAATGATAAATTCTTAGCAGATAGGTTTAAATTTACTATTTTTTTTAATTTTTATTTGGGGCAAACTTAGAGAAATATGAACTGAAAAACGTGATTTACTTACTTATTGTGGACCCAGATTCGGGCCTGTTCAGGGAGCTGATGATAACAAAGCCAAAGCCTTCGTTCTCCTTGCGGTGGATCACCACATCGCTGGTTTGCAGGCTGTGAGACGCGAAGCCCTCGGGGGGTGTAGCATTGCTGCTGGAGACAGCGTGATTGCTGTTGGCGTAAGTCGTGTAGTCACTTCTTGGAGAGCTGTGGTGCGTAGACACTGAGCCTGGGCTTCTGCCATTCTCTGGGCAGGGCTCTCCTACAACATAAATCACACCAGTGTCACAGTCTGACTTGCTCAGTGGCCCTGTTGCTAACGCAACATGAATACAGTTGACTGTCTACAGACCAGACTACCTCAAGTATTAAACTAGGAGCTGTAATAGATGCAGAGAGACAGGAATCTACACAATTATGCAGAACATTCAAGGGCAATCAGATAAAGAAAGCATGAACACTGACTGCTACACTAGCTACAAGAGAGGAAAGGAAAGTAAGGAACAGTGTCTATCTGGATTGCAAAAACATTACCAAGCGCTATTCCCTTGTCTGCTGGTGGATCTGTCATCAAGAGGGAAATGTGACCGTCTAATCCAATAAAAAATTATTTGTGTTTGGATTACAAGAATTTAAGCAGGGGCTAACAGAGTAATTAGGATTAGCTGCATAATGTTCTTCTTACATGTTGATTAGCATGCTCAAAAGATGTTCAAAGAGCAGAGCTGTTATACAATGAAGAATTATCACAAGTAGTTTTTCTGTGGGTGTCATGGCAGAAGCAGTGGTCATTTAAAGCATTTGGCAAGTTCAAAAGGGCAGAAGTGAAAATGGAGTCCATGCACACTTTAGTATTGCTTTCCAGTAACAAGAACAGGAAACAAGTTAAAACTTGTGGAATTATACACTTTTTAGTGTGAGCATTTTGGCAATTGAAAACAGTAAATGTACATTTCCAGATGGGAAAAAATGATTTATATTCTTTGCAGATCTAAGTTGTTTACACAAATCAGCATTTATTGACAGTTTTAATACAGAACTTTCAGATAAATGTAAGCATTATGTTTTCTGTTTGGAACAAGAGTGGCAGAGTAATTTTACTGAACATGTGAGGAGCTCCCACATATACACATACATCCTAGGTAGAGAGTTTGCAAATTAGACCTTCACTGTGTGTCTATATTAATAAAATAAACAGCATCCAAGGACAAGCTGTTGTTTTCTCAGTCAGGTGTGTCCTTTAGCAGTTCTTCTGCAACTATGAAATAAAGTTATTAGAGAGTATAAAGAGGAAGAAAAACAAACAATTATTATACTCCTGAAAATCTCTAAGAGTTATTGAACCAAATCTGCAACTAAATGCCATAGTCAGTGACAAGAGAGCTCTCATTTTCTGGCTGTCGTGTTTCAGAGAGCTGAATATTATTTATGTCAGTATGGCTGCAACAGAAAGGAAATTCTCTTACCCTGTAGAATGACCAAGATTTGGCTTGGCCATAAAAGAATGCAATTGAATGTGATTAAATATAGGAAAAGAATTATAAAGGAGGAAAAGCTTAAATGGCTATTTGACTGTACACTGTGCAATAGATATTCATCAGAAAAATTATGCTTTGCTCCTGCCAGTGAAAAAATGGTATTTTAATCCATCTTGTTCCCAAAATCATATTTTCCTAATCAAATTGTTTTCCAGATCTTGTGAACTGTGATTTTCTGTTCCAGATCTGAGTAAATATATGTACAAAATGGTAATTCCAGGTGAGGGCTAAGATATGCATATCAGCTACAGGAAGGTAAGGAAAACCCCAGATCCCTCTGTTGTACACATTCTTGCTAGTGAGAAATTCCCATGAAATCAATTGTCCTGATGTATTAATATAGCATTTTTCAGTCACGCCCAACATCAGTTATTTTGAATTTTTCCACAAAGCTTATGTAGTAACACACCACATTAAAGTCCTGTTCAGCTCCTGAAATGCTTAAACATCAATGAGCTACATGCTACATTCCCTGGTGTGGCACTCTGAAGGCCCAAGAATAACTTCAGGTGTTTTACCAGCTTGCTTATTCTCTGCACCAGGAGCCCAGACGGGCTAGCAGACCCTTCAATATTTAACAAGCAGCAGCCAAGGCCGGTATCCGCTCAGTGCTAACTTTGCCTGCAGTGCGTAGGGCGGCTGACGCGGGAGAGGTGCTGGCGGCGAGGATGTGGCATTACCTTGGTTATTGGCCATTTTCCTCGCACTGGGAGAGCTGCGAGGGGGCGTCGCACCAGGCGCTGGGGCACCTTTCTGGCTGGAGGACTCTGGAGTCAGTAACAGAAGAAAGTCAGTCCTGCAGGAGCACGGCTGGCAGGGAGCTGCGGTGCCGCAGTGGGAGGGGGACTGCGAAGACGAAGGTGAGTGGGAGGGCGGCTTTTTGGCACAGGAGCGAAGGGGAACGGCGCAGGCAGTGACAGTGGATCCAGGGCATGGGCAGGCAGAAGACACGACAGGCTGGGAATGTGGTTTTGCTCATTTCTGGTACCTCAGTGAAGTGTACTCACCAAAAGTGTTTTAAAAGTACTTAAATAAACTCTTTTCTCAAGCAAGCAAAGGTTGTAATGGAAGGTCATAAAATTCTCCCATTAAAGCTTTAATAGATGCTGCCACACACATTTTTCAAGGTTATAATGTTTTTCAGCAATTGAGACTGAGCTAGTGTAAACATCTAATTTACTACAAATACTTCATATTGGTTTGGGTTCATTTTCTAAATGTATCAGCATGACAGAAGAATCTGGCCCTGTTCCTAAGAGCCACTTGTGCCCTACAGAAGATTTTCAGCCAGCTTGCAATGCAGTTCAGTGGGAAATTCCAGATGACATCAGTGAGACCAGAAATGGGCTTTTAACACATACAAGAGTGAAATGAGTTCCTGCTCTGAACAGTTAACAGTCTTTGAGCCTTTCTCTTATTGACATAGCTCAAATGGCTTTAACTTAGGTGAATGTTTAGTCCCAAAAGTGGACAAAAGGAGACAGCACAGACCAAGACAGCATGGAACAAACCCAGAGCACTTATGATCGCTACACCAGGGTTGCCAGAATGTTTCCACTTCTGAAGGAAACAACACTCAGTTGTAGTATTTTTGTCAGAGTAACAAGGGACACGTATTTACAATTATTCTTTCCTCAAAATGACACAAACATTCACTTTGATTTCCTCTATTTTTTTTTTTTTAAACAGCACTGGTTTGTGCTGCCAGCATTAGGTTCTGTTTTTCCTTTCACCTTTCCCAGCCTTCACTCACCCGTGGGTAGCACCTTTCTCCTCACAGTAAGATTCACCTGCCCGTTTCGGGCAGCGTTATGCATAAGATCAATCACATATCGGTGGGTTTTGCCGGCCACTGGAATCCCATCTACATACACCAGCTCATCACCAGGATGGAGACGACCATCTCGGTCTGCAGAGCCCATGGCAATTACTGCTCCGATGAGAATCTAGGCAGCAAAGAAACAAAATCCTGTCATATATTACACTGAGCCTCCAATTTTGTGACATGAATATTGCAGTGATTTTCTCTTTCTTCTGAGATTAAGCTAGTGATTGAGCACAGGTGAATAGATCTATGTGTGTCTGAAAGCTGTGATTGTCCTCTCGTGGGTATGATTTCAGTCTGAAGATGTTTTCTTTGGTAAGAAGGTAAGGTGTTTCCTACCTGCCTGGGAGAGATATACCAGAGAATCCTAATCTGAGTTCAGCTTGATATGTTCAAATCAAGATAATCTGTCTCTAAGGAGTGTTGAGTTTCTATAGACTATGTTATACAGAAGACTTAAAAAGATTAATTCCATGTAAGGATCTTTTCTATTTAAAATTAGAGAGTCTGTGTATTTCTTGTTGAAGGTTCTTCACTGCTGTGTGATTTAAGCACCTGGAGTCATATACCTGAGGTCAGCAGTAGAAGTGACCCCACTACACAGTGTTTGCTTTGAGACTCTTTAGGGGAAAAGAAGTAATATATTTAATGTTATTACTTGAAATGAATGATTGCTCAGGAAATGCTTGATTAAAATGGAAAAAAGAGGAAAAAAATGTCAGCTTGCTCTGGGCAGATGTTTTCCCAAATGGACATTTCAACTTAGTTTGTATGGGACATATAAACTAGTAAAAAATCTGTCCAAAACCTTTTAACGACTTTCTCCACTTTCTATGCAGATATTCATATTATTTATTAGAAGAAGACATATATATTTTCCCCGTGGAATAACTGGTAGAACAGTAGAGACTGATTCAAACAAAACCCGCTTTCTTTGAAAGAATATTAAAGCATTCACAGAGTGTGTTCCAAATTTTCTGTTCTCTTTTTCAGTGTGAGTGAGCACAAAATGATGGATGTGACATGCCATGTGACAATCTGCTTTAAATGATAAAAGATAAAAGCCATGAAGCATTACTTTTCATGATGAATTGCAAAGGCTAGATGTGGTAGTCACACAGGTGGGCCTGTGGTTTTTTTGTGGTCTTAGCTGCAGAGTTGTAAGTATCTCAGTATAGTGTTTAAATGAAATCCCCTGTGGAGCCTAGAGAATTTTCCCCAGATTTTAGCCTCCCTTTGGCTTACTTTTGCTTTCAAAACTTAGCAAAGAGAGAACACGATGCATTTTTTCCTGCTTTCTGGTGTTCCTGGGATCCTGTTAAGCAGTGCCAGACTGAGTAGCTAGAGAGGCTGTTTCAGGTTCTCCATTCTGTTCTTCAAATGGTGAAAAAATATACCTCAAAGCTTTGGATAATACTTTTGCAAAATTCAACTATGAAACATATAACTATGCTCCTTTACTGGACAGAAGAAAAGCTCTCCAAGGCTACATTTAGCTAGATATCCACAAAGTATTCTCAAAACATTTGTGAATTAGGCATCTCACATGAGTAAGAATTTCTTCCTAGTTATTTTGAGAGGAGATGGATGATAACCCTCTGCATCTTCGGAGATTGTTTGAATTGGCTTCCTTCTTTGGTTTTGTTGAGCATTTGCAGTTTTTTCATAATTTTCTGACAAAATATTAAACAATTTCAGCATCTTTAACCTTTGGAAAAACAAAATTCAGATCACAGCATGGCAGGTCATCAATATACACAGCAAACTGGAAAAACTCTTTCTAGTTCTGACTAAGTAATTATTGCTGATATTTCATATGTCCAACATGGAATGTGACTGCGTTACTCATCTCAGTGCTGGACTCCTAACATAAGCAGCAGAGTCATACTTTAAACACTTCAGCTAGGTGTGTTCGTTGAGATGATGCCCACCATATCTGTTATTTGGTATATTTAACAGCAAGAATAACTTAATTTTCCTACTTTTTCATTTTTTGTGTCTGAATTTGTTTCTTATGCACTATCTGCTCTCATTTCATGGCTGAGAAGTTGCCATAATAGTTATCAATGTTACACATAAAGCACAAATTGGAAAAATATATATCAGGATAATATTACCTCTGAAATGCAGTTTCACACAGGCATGAGATTGCTTTGAAAGCGTGAGGAGAAGGATGATGGCATGTAAACAATAAAGAGTGTGTTGTAGAGAAAAAGAAAAGTTTCTCCTATTGTTTGAGATTAAACAGGACAAATTCTGGGATTAGTATGATTGTGGCAGAAATTAAATCTGAATCTGAACTTAAAGCCTGCGTCTATTAATTTATACAGACTAATCTGCTTTGATCCTGACTTTCTTCATGATTCTTGGTAATTATCTGAACTTGTATTTTGGTTTCTCTGAATATAACACAGCTTCACAGGCACATAGCAAAATTTAAGCATGTACACATAAAGGGTGATCTACCTAATTTTGTGTCAGTGATGTCTAAATCCAAGATAATCATCTGAACTCTGTCTAACTACTGCTAAAATAGGACTTCCCAAGGCATGGCCTTATTATTGCATTTTGCTCTATGGATATCTATGTCTTAGAAATGTAGGAAGATACTTAGAATGTATCTTGGCATTGATAATAAAAAGAATAGAAACATATAACTTGAGGACATTTTTGAGAAAAATCCAAATCCGTCTGTGTTGAAAAGGTAAAACTCTTACAGAAATTATGTATATGTTCCTGTGATCCTGAGCTGCACAAATGTGTGTAAAATACATCTCCCCTTTGGGACAGCAATTTGCAACTTCAATAAAGTTCCAATCTATGTGTTTTTGCAACCTTTCAGTAATATCATAATTCACCATAACAGAGTCAGATTATCTCTAAATCCTCAAGTTACTGGGAGATGTGATAAATAGCTGTTGTAGTGCAATATTATAAGATTTGAGAGGTGATTTAAACACACAGTCTTGATATTTGAAATTTCTCAATAAATTTAAGTATTTCCTTTCAGAAGCATTTTTTATGATTATAAATATGGAAAGTGGAGTAGTGCAGCAGAATTTTCTCCTTCTAAGGTACCAGGTAGCTGATATAACCAGAAGGAAACTAAGCTACAATCCGTCCATAGTGTCAGTATTATTCTTCTAAAATAACTTTACTTGGATTCTGCTTCTTTGAAAAAGTTATTGCCTTATGCTGAAGAATCCATATTCCTTTTTAGAAATCAAGCCACAAAGACAAAAGCTTCCTTTTGTTCTGTGTTACCTGACTGCACAGCAGGAGAGCTGAAATAAAAATTTCAAAGTGTCTCAGTTCTTGTTTCATAGGAAAGGCAGAGGTTTGGAGAACAAGCAAAAACTGCTTCTCCTTTACTGGAGGTGAAAGGAATTTGAGGCTGCAGGTAGGCTGTCCATGGGGGAGCAGGGAAGCAGTGGAGGAGAGAGAACAGAGTCAAAAAGTCTTGTACTTTGAATATGAAATAGAGGGACACTAAAAAGAGTACATCTGGTTGTATTTATTGGTGTTGAATTTGAGCAGTGAAAACAAGATGGGCAACAATGAGGGAGTGAGAATTGAAAGCCTCATCACTGTAACACAATTCTAAGAAGGTGCCTTTTTGCCTTGTACAATCCTCAGCTCCAAGTTAAGCTCTTAGCTCCTGAGGACTTTGAGAAATGTTTGCAAAGACACATCAAATCCATTGGATTGACTGATAAATCTTGGTGAAAAATGCTTTTGTATGTACAAACCATGGAATAGAGAAAGCAACCTTGAGGCTAAGGGCAGGCTGAGAGAAATTGTTCAACAGGACAGTGAAATGTGTTAGAGGGTGGTTCACAGAGGGCGGCATTTTTAGTCCTGCTCTCTAAAAATAGTGAGGTGTTTATCTCCTCTGCACTTGATATCCAGCTATGGCTTTTTGACTTCAGACACTAAAGTCAGGTCAGTCCTTTGCTGAAGAGACACTAGAAAGAGCTGATCCTCTGTAATACTTCATTGCATAATGCATGTAGCTGCAGGGCAAAAGGATTGTTTCAAAATTTCTTTTCTACTGGATTGCTGAGCAGAGACTCAGGTCTCTCACAACTCCGGCATGTATTATGGATACGAAATACCAGAATATCAGATATTCTACATGAGTTTACTCTTAGTCCTTTAGGTTGAAATAATTCAGTTTTATATAAATAATAATCCTTTGGATAAGGCATTTGAGCTGCACTTTTCCCCATGAGATTGTCATAAAACTCCAACAAGCAGAGCCAGTCAGACACTTAGCCTGTGACTGCTTAATTATCCATTTGTAATGAAAAAAGCACTAAAGGAGACACCAAAGCACTAAAGGAGAGTCTTTCACAAAATATTGAGCAGCCTTGGACACTTTCCTGGGAGACAGGAAATGCCATTAGACATTATGGTGCAGAGCAGTTAGAAGATTTCCAAATCTTTATAGAATCATAGAATGGTTTGGATTGGAAAGGACATAAAAAATCCTCCAGTTCCAATCTCTCTGCCATGTCATGGGCAGGGACACCTTCCACAACACCATGTTGCTCAAAGCTTCATCCAACCTGGTCTTAAAGGTAGTGCCTTTCTATTGCCATTTCCTAAGAGTCTAAAAAGATAAAATGGACAATTTCCACTAACACCTCACAGACTTCCTTTTTGGCTTCACCCAGTAGGTGTACTTTGAGAACTTATACTGCCTGGGCCATCCAGAAGGGACAGGAAAAATGCTTAGCTGGAAAATGTGCAGATGGTGGCTCAGTGGCCTCATTTTATGTGCACTGGGACATGCTGCACAGAAGGAAGTTACATATCAGAGGGGCTTCAGGCACACTGCAAGTGTAAAGGATGAAGCAATGTTGTCTTGGAGTCCTTCTGAGCAGCTATACTTTATATTTGAAAAGCCATTGAAAATGCTAATTCTAAACTAGACTGAATTTCAAACAGCATTTGAAGCATATTTTTTAGAATACACAGCCTTCTTTTCTTTTTATGGGAGACATCAGTAAATTTTTGATTCATCAGTACTTTGATAGATATTGACAATTTAAAATATAAGAGCTTCTTTATTTCTCAGAGCCATGTGCTGGTTAACCTTAAGGCTTGAATGAAAAACATACTATTCTGTATTAATTTGAATATGAAATATATATATCATTGACTGGGGAATATACAAATATAATAATTAATTATACATTATCTCAGAAATGTGGTAACACAGGACTCAGACTGTGCTTAAAATAAAGCACTATCATTATTGACTTGAGATCAGTCCTGGCTGTCAGACTATAGTTACGCCATCAGGGTTTTTCTGAAAGAGTACTAATTCTGCTTGCTCTCAAAATTATAGTATTTAGATAGATCAGTAACTCATCAAAATGTGTACACATTTGTAGTGTGTCATGCACATTTGACCCTTATTTTCTGGGCTGCTTCACTGTTTCTTTTAAATATTGTGCATATGGTTTATTTTATATTATATTTTATTAACAAAGAATCTATGTTCATTTTATTACCTGTTATTTGGTTACAGGGGTTCCTCCCTCCTAATGGTGTAAAGCTATCATTTTTATGCCTGTTGCCTCACATGATGTTGTCATTTAACCTGGAATATTGACTATCACTCCCTAGTGAGATCTTCTGTTCCCTTAAATGAACTGCATTGTTGACCGTGTCTTTTAACCACACTCATACATTTTACATACACATTGCCTGCTCTGAACATGGTTATGGATAGTCTTACACAATTGGATTTTTGGAATCTTCTGCTTACACTTGATTTTGCAAAGTCCAGATTAACAGATGCCAGGTCATACTCCACAGTAACGGGATGAACAATGCTCTCTTTCCACCTTAATGGCTTCTTATTTAAACTTAATTCTCTGTAACACATTTTAGATGTGAACAGCCTGGCTTTTTCTATGGATGAATAAAAGTAATTTTACTGGTAGCCTTAACATGGTGTTCATTTGGGTTCAGTTATGTGGTAATATTTTTCTGCCCTTTTTACAGATCATAGAATGTGTAAGGAAAAGGAAAATCAAGAAGAACTAACTCACAGGCTGCCCAGGCTCATCTCCTCCCAGGATCCTGAAGCCAAACCCAGACTCCATTCTCCGAAGGTGAACATCCAGCTCCTTGTAATCTGGACCTGATTTAAAGAGAAATCCCACTCAGCAAAGCATTTTGGTCTTACCTTGAGAATTTGCATCAACTTCCCTCCCACCTTGTGTTTATTGCAGGTGACTTATGGCATCCTGATTGGAGCTGGTGGAAACAAATGGGCCACAGACAAGGAGGAGAACTGAAAATGTAGGTGTCTCTTGGAGGATGGTTATGTTCAGTAGAATACACTAAACCAAACTAGAATACATCCACAGAAGAACAGCATGGAAAATGCTGTCCAAAATAGAAGCTAAAAATGTGTCTTCTTCCTAAAACTGACTGTATAATGGACTGCTGTTCATCCACCTCTGGTCTTTAATTTGTCTTTTCCTTGCAGTTCATTAAATCCTACAAAGAATAAACTGAAATGGGAGACAGAGATACATCAGTCCCACTCACAAAATATGAAAATCATTACAGGCCATTTAAGTTCCAAATCCAGATATATCTATCTATATCTATCTCTATCTATCTATATCTATATCTAATCTATATCTATATCTATATCTATATCTATATCTATATCTATATCTATATATCTATATAATTTATATCTATATCTATATATCTATATCATCTATATCATCTATATCTATATCTATATCTATATCTATATCTATATCTATATCTATATCTATATCTATATCTATCTAGATATATAGATATAAAGATATATAGATATATAGATATATATGCATTTTTATGTAATGTAGCTTTTAAGTATTCCACTTCCAGGTAATACCCTCAATAAGGAGTTTTGATGAAAATAGTCATTATAAACCTCTCAGTCTCAGAGTTTAAATTGAAAACTAACATCATTAACTTGAACTCCTTAATGCTACTCAATTAAAGTCTCAACAGCTTTATGAATCTATAAGATTGCGTTTCCATATGCCTGCCTAACCTGTCTTTAGACATATATTATGTGCTGTAATATATCAGTTGAGGAATATAGAGTCCTTTAAAGATCAGTTTCCTATAAAAGTGTCTTTAGATTCACTTTAAAAAAAAAACAGTGTTCTGGGATAGTAATAACAATAATAGTAATAATAGTAATAGTAATAATAATGATAATAATAATAATAATAATTTAAATATTATAAAATGAAACTGTAAGCATTTAGAAGACTAAGAAGCTGTCTTTTGTCTGTTGTGACTATTTCTTTGCATGCTCAGAGATGCTTTAGGCTCATCACCTAAAGCAGTGATTGGCAGGAATGGTCTTTCCTATGGATTGCACTCTGGTCTATACATTGTGACACAAAACCTTTTGGTCAGCGTCAGTTTGTTGCTGACCCCAAGAGAAAAAAGGGATGATATGGCTTATTTCAGCAAACTGCTCATAAGTATCTCCAGTTGTGCCTTGTTCCCTTAGGATGGATTACAGATGGCTGAAATATGGAACTTCAGCAGCACTCACCTATAGATCTCCCCTCAGAGCCATCAGTGGACACCTCATAAAGTGTGGAGTTTGGCACACTTGCCAGGTGTAGTCTGGGATTAAAGCCTGATTTGTTTCAGTCAGGTATTATTGCAAAGACAGATACAGAATGACATGCACTGGTTCTATACTATGACTGTGCAATAAAAATCCTCTGTAAACAGCAGCAATTCAACAATTTGTATTGCTGAAAGTGAGACTGAATCACAAATATTTCAATTGGTAAAATAAAAGTATTACCTTTCCTTACCAACTTGCTTCTCATGTACTGAGAAGACAAACCCAAACAGAGCCAAACAGGTTATTATACTTAATTTTCCCATTTATTTAATGTGCCTCAAAACTAAGGAGCAAATAAATTCTGGGTGTGTACTGTATGTTAGCTTAATGCAAATAATTAGGTAATTGTGAGAGACAAAGGAATTTCAGATGAAAACAGTACTTTACCTGGTTTGCTGTGCCTACAAAGATGGGGCTTAGCACTAGGGAGATGGTTTTGTAGACAGACACAGTGTGATCACCATTTGTAACCCAGGTCTAACACTCAAAGGAACTGTCTAAACCAGTCTGTCACAAACAGAGCACTGCCTTTATTGTGCACAAGTGAATGAATATGCACAGTTGGGAATCCAATAGGAAAATATAAGAATATCAGGTTGTGAAGAATACTTGCTCTGGCAAACTGAGATGAAAATGTCCCTCAGATACATTGACAAAGCTAAGCCAAATCAGTGTTAGCAACAGACTCTAAAATAAGGGGTATTATTTAATTTGTAAAAGACGTTATTTTTCTACCCCATTTAGAATGGAATAGATAAGCCAGTTGACCATTAAAAAGTTTAGTCTAAAAAATACCATATAGGGGCATACTTTTCTAAGAGCCCTAATACAGTTTGGAAACCTTTGGGTTAATTGACTGGGCTACAATGCTCATTCAGAAAAACCTTCCTTCACAAAGACTTGGAATTCTGTGGAACCCATTGTCTGCCAACAGAAAATCACTGAAAACTACTCTTAAAAAATAATGTTCTTTTCTGTCCCACTAAGGAAGCAAAACACTGGAAAGGATCCCTGGGTCATCAAGTCTAGATTCCTGTTATTGCAAACCTCTGCAAGCAAACAACACAGAGACCTTAGCAGTAAAGACAGGCAAAGAGGATGCTGCCAACTGAGCTTGTTTGTGGCCTTTGTCACTACGCCACCTGCCTTGAAGTAGTATCATAATATCACAGTATCTCCAGTGACTGCCTGGTACACAAACCTGTGTTGCAGCTTTCATGTTGGGTATGACATGACTCCACTGGTTGCACTGATCACCTTTCCATTGCTCTGGAGACAGCTACACCATAGATTCCTGAACTTACATTGCTGAAAGTGGACCTGACTTCTAGCCTTGGTTTTTGTGCTTAAGTGATTAATGAAATAAGACAGAAGACTTATTGCAAGGCTCTCCAATATTAATCTTTCAGTCCAGACTATTCTAGTAGAATTGTTTAGCTGCTTTCTAGACATTCATCTTTATATTTCATGCTAAGCATTTCTTTTTCAGGCTAACATGGATGTGTTACAGTTATAACTGGCATTTTGTAAAATGTAAAGTATAGATTAATTAAGCACACTTGTTTGGTGTAAAAAATCAGTTCCCAGGTTTGACCGACCAACCATCTTTATTACACTCCCTTTGCATGGTACTCAGTTTATCCCCATATTGGCAGTTAGTCTTTAATGAAAAACATGCTCTAAAGCCTTACTGCTGCTGAGATCCTTTTTTCTTGTTTCTGAAAGACAGGTAAGCTGTTCACTATTTTGTGCTTTTCCACAGGAGCTCATGTTTGGTAAATTTACTAAAAGCCCCTATGATTATGTGGCAGTAGTTTCAATATTCCTGAATATACATTGATTAAGTATTCTTACCCATGTAAATGCTTACATTTCAACTGATATTCAAGTGCTTGCTTCTCCAGGATTCTGGTATTTTTTTGTTCCTCACAAAGGATTGTTAGATAGACTAAATTTTGTGTTTTCTTGCTGGAGCAGATTTTCAGTTGATCATAGAAAGAAAATTACCTGTACTTACAGAAAATGACACTCCTGTGACTTGCAATATACTACAAACTGTTGGTTAATATAACTTCATTATGGAAAATGTGTCTTTTTGTTTTCTCTTGCTAACCTAGATTAGCATCTTGTGGTTCATGACAAGTAAGAAGTAATGAATAGGCATGCAGACAAGCCAATACTGAATTAACACTGTCTTTTCCAGTTTGCTTATCCTTCCAGTCAGCCTCATGTACCTTAATGACATGTCTCCTACCAGTTTTATTGAAAGGAGAATTTCACCTTAAAGTCAATATTTTTGCTCATGTAATATGGCTATCCTCTGCCAGAATGATAATGCTCCCTGTCCTTCCTTGCCTCTATACATTTATATTAGAAAAAGAACTTTAACTTTGCCTGCTAGTAACTTCATTCTCTTTTTTTTTTGTTATAGTCATACCACTTTTTTTCTTCTCTTTGTCTGAAGGAAAACTTTCTTAACAGTTAATTTGGCCTGGAAGAAAAAAACTCACATCAATTCACTTTGCTAGGCTATAAAACCAGCTGGCTCCCCCATGAATTCAAGAATGGTATTGGACAAGCTGTGATCTGATCATTGCAGCACAGTGAGGACAGTAAAGAGCATTGGGAAATTCTTTCTGGTTCCTGAATGATAGGGATTTGCTTTAAATGTAATGGTAGCAGAACAGACTGTTACTGAATAATAGTGAGATCTCATGGGTGAAGATGTGGTTATCAACTCCCAGCTACCTTTCTGCACCACATTAATCTGAATCACTGGGTGAACTACACACTGATAGGCATGCATGCAGTTGTTTCCTAAATGTTGAGAAAATATATACCTGAAAATGCCTAATTAATTTTCTGTGTGAGACAAGTTGAACAAATGATATGTGATTTTACAGTAATAAATGTGGTATTCAGGACAATCCTGTAAATGTTGATATATTTTTTTTTTATTAAAAAAATATTCTTCTATATATTGCAATTAAAGGAAAGATGAAGTGTATTGCTGTAATAATTTTACAGTCTTTCTGGGTGTATTCAGATACCTACTGAAAAAAAAACCTAATTTGGATTCCTTTACTGAAGATGGTGAAGATTTTTGTTTGATACAAATAATTATAAATTGTGAATTTTGATTGACACAAAACTACAATAACTTCATCTGAGTTTCAGATGCTCTTGAAAGATGTGAAAAGCTTGAAAACAGGCATGGATCTTCTGCTCAGCAATGTGAGTAGCTTTTTAAAACAGCATACATATTCCCTCTTGATATTTGTAGAGAGGAAAGCTGGCAAATAAAAACTTCAATATGAAAATTATCAAAGAAAAGAAAAAAGAACTGCTGTGATAACAGAGTTATTCAATGTATAAACTCTACTGGGTTATGCAAAACCAGTCCAACGTTATATTTAATTTAGGATCTCTGTTCAACTTGTGTAGGACTAGAAAAGCTTTGATAGGATTGTCAGAACAGCCTTTTTGTTTTTGTTTTTTTTTTTGTATGGGATGCCTGTTTTAACAGTTCACTTAGCATGATAACACTGGGAAATCAAATATTGTTGTTTTTTAAAAAAGTCCATTGCCATTTTACAAGATTAGTGTTGACTCAAACACCCCAAAAATCTCCTTATTTTAAAAGTTTTTGCTTTTACATTTTTACAGCACAAGTGTGAGAGCAAGGAATTTGTGATAGAATTAAGATAGAATTAAATCCAGATTAAAAAAAAAAGCTTAATCTTTGATTTGGGCAAGAGCTATAGAGATACACTTTAATGCTAAAGAGTGAATACTAATATGAAGGTACACATAAAACACAGTAAAACATAATGAAAAGTGTCTGAGAAAAAAGAAACACCTTTCCTTGCTCAAAATGCAAATCTATTATAAAAAGATTTGGCATAAGCATTCTACAACCCCACAAAGATCATACACAATAAAATGGTGACTGGGTAGTCATGACTGGCCATCATCTTGAGAAATGATTAAAAAAAGAAGAATAGCTAAAACATAAAATGAAGGACAACTACTTTACAGAAAACAAAGGCTGAAGAATACTTGCCAGAGGAATCCACTCGAAAACCAGTCCTGGGCAGCACTTGTTCTGAATAGGAAAATGGGGAATTAAAGGTGAAATACATTTCTCAAGTTATTTAAAGATGCAGCATCAATTTCTCTGCTGTGTTTTGTGTTACTAAAATGCATTTTCTATTTTTCCTTGAAATTTTGTTTTCTCCTCCCCTCCTTTACTTTCCATGTGGTACATGTACATATTCCTGCTAGATTAAGACCTCCCTGGCTATTTCCGTGCAAAGTGAAAAAGATGGTGAAGTGGTAATGCTTCTTTAACACAATGTAGGTTCTGATGAATATACAATTTTTAGTTTGGTTAAAAGTGTGAAAAATAGTGACAATATTTATGCTTATTCAAGTACAGCAACAAAAGGGGAAGTTTAAAGGGTGTGTTTGGATGTCTTGACCTCAGATGACTTGACCCCTGCTTTTATACAACTCAATTGCAAAACATCTTTTATCACCAAGAAGAGGAAGAGTTTTCTAGGGGGATGTATGTTGCCAATTTGAACAACGGATTGTACATGAAGGTAAATGCACGTAAATCCCTTTAACATTTTATGCAGGTAGTTTCAAAGTGTTTGTTTTTCACTATATGAAGTGCAGAAAATAACTGTCTTCTTTTCATATAAAACTACTTTGCTTGCATTAAAAGGATCTGGATGAGTCCATAGCTGAATTCTGTTATGCTTCCTTTGTTAATTTTTAAAAGTTCTGAACAAGAGTTTCTGTTTTATTATTTTGGCAGCACCAAGAGTGAATTGCAAAACATTCCAAACTAGAGGTGACTTCTATTGACTTACAACAAAAGGGCAAATAAGGTATCCCATTTATATGACTGTAATATGTATACCATGCATATTTCATGCTGCAAAGGAGGTAAGGTCTTTCACAACAGCATTTGTAGGAGAGTGATGCAATCTATGAGTATATACCATCTTCCTAAGACAGAAGGGTGTGGTGAGAAACATAATATAGCATTTCCTCTGTGAGAGGCTGTGTACCACTTTGAATGAGTTTAGACTAAAGCCACTTGCCATCTGGTGGACTGCTTCCTAAAGGCAGCATGGGCTGCAATGGCAACACCTGAGTGATTTAGAGTTCACTTGAGATAATACTGAAATGGCTGTTGCAGGGTAAAGATATTTTCCAAAAGATGTCTATCAAGAATAGAGATGTCTTAAATTTTTTTTGTAAGGATATTTAGATAACAGCCTTGTCATGTCCAAATCCAGGTCCACTAAATGGGGACATCCATTTGGATTTGGTGCTCCTGTCGCATTTGTGTTTACTATCTGTGTTGTGTCAAGTGCACTATGCTGTTTGGCTTTATAGGTGGCTGCATGATTTTACTTGGATGGTTAAAGGAGAAAATTCCTTCACTTCAGATTTTGTACAGTGATTTGGGATCCTTCAGGTGAGACGTGCTATCTAAATGTAAAATATTCCACCAGCACAGCTCCTGAAAACCAAAACCTTTGAAACTGATGCTGCTCCACTGCAAACTTGGAGAAATGATTTTTTTTTACTCACAGCCTTTCAAGATTTTAATGGAGCTCTTAAAAGAGACAAAGTCATTTAACTGTAGAGAAAGCAATTTCATCTCGATAGTCTCAATAAGCTTTTAGGTTTGAACACAAGCTTTTTCTCTTGGCCACTCAGCTAGAATTGCTCTTCGGAACTGCTGTAAGATTGGTTCATTCTGTTTCCATTTCTGCTTGCAGTCAATCTAACATCACCCAGAACTGGCCTCAAGCAGCAAAATGAAAGAATCACCACCACTCTCAAACTGTGACCAATTAGGGAACAACTTGCTCTCTTAAGACAGCCATATATTTTAAGTAAGTTAGTAGCGTCCTTTTTTGGGAACTGTTATTTGGGGTCAATCAAAACTGCCTGTCAATGAGGTGGTTTCCTTCAAAGCTAATCTCATGAAGTCTGAAAAAGCTTTTGTTCCTTTGCCTTGCAGAACTTCATGTAGATTCTCACAGTGTTAATTATCATCTTGTAATCAACCATTCAGCACCCAGCATGTGTTTTCACTGTAGTTTAGGAATTCACACACATGAAAATTGGAATTGTTCTATGCCGAAGATGCTGAATCAAGCCCTGAAGTTTTTAAATGTCTGATCACCAGAAAGATAAGCCTAGATAAGGTACAGATTTGTGGTTTTGGTAACCATAGCAAAGACATGCTCATATTGGGAAGAATCTGATGTCAGCAGTATGGGTCTCTGCAGTACACATAATTGGGATAATTTCACTAACACTTTGGAAAATGAAATATATCCTCTAAATAGCTGTGCTCATGCGACAAGCAAACTGTTAGCAGATAGTAGAAAACTTCAAAAGAGGAAAGATCTGTAAAGAACCTTTAACACAGAGGAATGGAATTAGCACTGTCTCCATCTGTCAAATGCAGAGATAAGGAGTTTTTCTCAAAACTCACCTAATTCTGTGCTCAAAGACCCTATAGAAAAGCAGCTTCCAACAGAGGAAGAAGGACTGCTGGACCTGGTCCTCAGCTGAGCAGAATGCACATCATTTGTACATATCCTGGTGCCTTCTATCTGCTAAGGATAAATTGAGCTGGTAATTTTACCAGAATACTGAGAGACCTTACTGTGTTTTGTTTTTAATCTGTCAGATAGGTTTATAGGAAACTAACCTTACACAAGGCAATTTGAAACTTTCAATTTATTTATTATGCAGTTAATTTTGACTTTTTATAAACTTTTAATAGGGTGGGGTTTTTTTTGCTGGTTTTTTTTTTTTTTTTTTTCCAATGTGTTAGATGTCCTGCCTCCACCTCACAGGAAATTAAGTAGAAGGATGAAATTTTGGGGATGTCAGGACAAAGAGACAAGTCTATCCAACACTGCCACCATGAAGAGGCATTCAAAGTGCTGAAAGTTTTAAAATGATGACATAAGATTTCTGTATTCTCCCTATGGTTCCTTTTTGTTTGAACTTCTGCAGCTGCATTGCCATGAGTACTTGTAGTCTTCCATGTGAAATAGGAATGAAAGAGCTTGAAAGTATAATAAAACACTTGTTAATTTCACTGATTAAATTTTTTTTTTAGTTCAGCTAACCTGTCCTAGAAACAAGAATCAGGAAAGTAAAACTAAGAAATCGTCTGAACTGTTAGTTGTATACAACTATAATTAAAATAAATCTCCACCATGATGATGACCCTGTGCTCTGAAGGATGAGCATGCAGCTATACATTTTGAGAAATCTTGACATACATCAAGATTTGGGATTGGAAGTAGATCCCTTCCAACTCAAACCATTCCGTGGCAATCTATGATTCTTTGCATATCAGATGAATGCAAAGCCAAGAATAATTTTGATATTAGAAGATAGAACAGTAAAAATATTGCATACCTGCCTTCTTGTTTAGTCTAAAATAAATTACATTCATAGATTTATTTCATTTTCACTCATTAATTTTAAACTGAAAACTGTAAAATATTTGTGAGAATAGACAAGCAATAAACAAGACCTGGGACACATCCTGGGGATGGGACAGAATCCTGATTTATATGAAATCAATGGTGAAAATAGAGGGAATCTTTGCTGTCAAGATACAGCCATAGGAGCACAATTACCCACAACATGACATAATGGTATTTTTATTTACACCAGTGGAACCACTGGTGTTCTCTGGAGGAAGAATTATGCTGATGAAAGGTAGGGACAGTTTTTGATAATATTTGTTTTCCATATTCTGTTGTTTTCTGGATCACTCTTTGTTGAATGCTGAATACATGGAACAGAACTAGCACAAGGGAACATCTATATTTCAGCATCTCAGTACTAGCCATGCTTTAGGTAAACAGGAATTTCACAAATGAGAAGAATGAGTGTGATTATGCTGCAATGTTATTTCCAAGGTGTGCAAGCAGCAGTTTGACACAGCTCATAGGCCGTGCAGCATCCATTTGTCTCATGTACCTGTGGCCAACTCCCCTATGCCTACAAGTCAGTTCTCTTAAATTTTTACTTTGACTCTTAAGTACACACTGCCAGTGTGCAGATCAAAATCTATTTGTATATCTTTTAGTAAAGTGTAAATTGTTAAAGAGAAAGAAATACCGCATCTTTAACACTGCCATCAGCAGTAAAACTGACACTTCATATTAGCAGAGGTCATTAGGGACCTACTTTGCAATCCAGCAATCAAAATCATTTTACATCCTTGGTACTGTGATGATTATACACTCATAATTCCATTTGAAAATGCTTTTGGTTTCACTGTCAGTTCATATAAGTAACAAATCCATTTTGTCATGGTAATTCTTTCTGCAGTGATGAACAATACAAAATCATTTGACATTAGTCTGCTAAATTTCCTCTCCTTTTATTGTATATCATCTCTTATTAAAAAGAAAGGATTATATTCATTTAGTAATATAAGTTCTTACACAGTCTCCATGCTGTTGCTTAGGGTAGCAATAGATGCAAGCAAAACACCAACACGGACTGTTTGGAAATTGGTTTGAGAAATTCCCTTCCTATACCTCAGTTGTTCATACTCTAGGTCAAGGAGTAGTTTGATGATAATAGACCTTCATTTGCAATTTCCAAACACTTTTATTTACTAAGTGAAGGCAGGCATGACTTACTGACACAAAGGGCACTAACTGGTGAATGAAAATATTGAAAGATATGGTAAACTGAGTGCAAGGAAGGTTTGAAACTAGAACCTGATTTTCTAGTTCGCAGTCCAAAACCCTTTACCCATAAAAAAACCCTCTTTATACAATACTTCAGAATACTATGTATTTAGTGCTATCGTAGTTCAGCATATATATGCATCTGTACACAGATGTTAAAGCATAACCAAAATGAGATTTTTTTTCAGATTAAAAATGAGCAAAAATGGGAAAAAATGTTAGAGGCATTTTTTTTTTTTTGGTCAGGAAAACACTGTCTGAAAAAAGTGGTAGTACCAATTATGTGAGAAACTTCCTTCTATTTTTAGTATTTTCAATCCTTAATTTTTAACTGTAGCTCTTCTGCCAA